CATCTGGCCTTAATTAAACATGCATATAGAAGCAAAATATTTCAAAATCTTTTTCAGGCCTGCTGAAAATCAGCCTTTTCCCTTTCTCCTGGACAAGGCAATTACTCCCAGTTGCACTGCCTGTCACTGTTGGGTGTTCTCAGAAAGACTCAGCACCCGCCACATTCATTTTTCTCTCAGTGCCTGTTGCAAGGGTGCCCATGGGAATTAACCAAGCTAGATTCTGTTGGGAAAAAGTCAACTTACCCTTTTGGATGAGTTTTTTACCCTAAGAGACATTTATCCATTACTTAGCAATTCATAGACTTTGCAGAAACAGGGTGTGCATCCCTAGATGATAAGCTTGTACTGCACAAGGTAGTTTGCTGAAAACAAAATACATGTCATGAAAATATAAAATAGTCAGTTCTTCCTCTGAGTCTTTTCAAGCCGCGTTTTGCCCTGGTCACCTTTTGCCCTTTGCTGTCAGCACCACAGCCCCTGCCTCCAGCAGCCACAGAGCTTGAGGCCTTGCACAAAAGAGAGGAGTAGGACAATCCCTCCCTGTCTAAAACAATACAGGATTTAATTGATTATTTCTTCTTCATGTTTCACAATTCTCAAACTGCTGTCACAAGTGGTCAGCTTTGCACGCTGGTGTCATTTGTTTGCTCAAAGGGAGAAGTTCATTATCCCTACAGAGGATCTGCACTGGAAATGCCTCCTGAAGCTCTTACTCTCACAAGAGCAAGATACAACTGTTTATTCTGTAGCAGAACCTCAAATACACTGGCCTGGCCTAGCTCACAGCTTGAAGTGCATGTTTCTTCTGGGGGCCAGAGGGGAACAGAAGAGGCTTTTCAGCTTGTACACAAAGAGGGCTAGCACATGTAGACCCCTGATACCTGGCTTCAGATAGATCTGGAGGGAGAGAGGAGGATAATAAATGGATTTTTTCTTTTCTTTTTTTTAAGTAAGTGATATATTTAGTCTCTGCAACTATGAGAGAAGATAGCTAATGCTTTACAAACTGGGGGATGTGATTTCTGTTTCACAGGTTATCAGATGTTCATATGAACATACGGTACTGTGGTGTCAAGTCCATATCAAACGTAAGCTGCAACTAAGCAAACTTTGTTCATGAACCGAGGTGGGGGGTGGGGGTTGGAGGGGAAGCGTAAAAGAAGTCTTGATGCAAATTTAGAGAAACAAAGTAAAAACAGCTCAACAAACAACTTCCAGTTTCAAGAATGAATCCAAGGCTAATTGTCAATCAAGTTAATGTGTGGGCAGAATAGGAAAGAAAATTTTAACTGACAATTTTGCAGAATATAGAATCTCATTAGACATCTCAAGTGGCTTAAAGGCTGTGGTTAAAAACCTTGTTAAGAAGTAGATTTTACTCAGTTGAGCCTTGCATAGTACTTTTAAATCTGTTGGTATTTAGACAGCAGTAAGAACTTAACTTTGGTGCAGCAAGTCTGTGCAAGGTTTCAATATACAGTGTTTAATAGAGGAAGGACATTTTTATCATTAGAGAGTATCTCCAGGGCTGACACTTTTTTTCCTAGCATATATTCTAGCACTCAGTTCTGCTATGCTACTGCAGTAATACAAGTAAATTAATGCTTTTGTTACTGACTTCAACAGCAATTTGGTAACAAAACACTGCTAAGAGGTAATATTAGTAAGAGTGATGTGCAAACGCACATGAAAAGCTGCTGCTTGTTATAGCAGAATACAAAAGTGGCAGATAGAGAATTGATTGTAGTCACAATTCTATTTCCAGCAATTGTTCTTCACTAAAGAGCTGCAAGGTTTTCTGTTTCTTTAACAGAAGATTAATGGAGGAACCAAAGACTTACCCAGCTATAAGAGATGCTGAGGTTGAGCACTGGTCTGTGTGGTTAGACCCTAAAGGTTTTCACAAGTTAAAGCAGTGGAATGCTGGTGGCAATTTTATGCGGAAGGAGGTTTTGATCCCTTACCAACATTTCCATCAAGCATGAATTGTGGACCAAAATCCAGTCATCACTGCACAAACAGCAGCTAGAATCAAACATGAGGTATTTTCTCATTTTTTTGCCAAACCACTGGAATAAATGGAAGATCGGTGTCTTATTTTAAGTTGCTTTTTTTAATCCCTCATTTTGTTAATTTTAATCAGTTTTGTAGCAAAAGTTAATTTATTTAAGCTCTTCTTCAGCATTTGAACCATGCTTTAGGAATTCCTATGAAAACGTTAGCTAGTTGAAATGATTAAAATACTGGGTTTGCATAAAATCTGCAAATACTTTAATAAAGCTTTGTACTTACATGATCACACACAGGGGCACACATTTGCCAGTAATGTACTCTATGACCACATTCCTAGTTGGTTGCACAAAAGAATGCAGCAGATTGCAGCAAGGCATTTCTTGAATATATCCAGCCCTTTTTGAAACCAGTTTTTCTTTTCTGAAATATTGGGTTTTTGTAAATATGACCATGTCAGGCAGTGATGTGCTGTAGCAAGGAGTGCTTTCTTGATTAAAAATAACCTATACTTTTCTTTTTGTTAGAGACTCTTTTTCTGGTTGGATTACAGACAGAAAGGCTGACCCTCATTATTAAAAGAGGCATTAAAACTTTAAATGCAAAGAAGTTGATGTTCTAAGATCTTCCACATAAACCAACAGAAGACTAGGAAGCAGCATCATTCTCCTGGGTGTTCTTCCATAGAGGACACTTCTGCTCCCTTACCATTTAACTGAAACACAGCAGAAGGAACCTTGTACTGCTATAACTTCTAGCTATAAATGGTGGAAATATCCAGAAACTGCTACTCAACTACTCTCCTTTATTGTAATTTTCTTGGGGAAGAGGGAGACTTGTTCTATTTGACAATTTAAATTAGGCTACTAATTGTCTTCATTTTAGTATTATAATGGTTGGTAATTCAGGATGAAGTTGTTAAAGCAGGTCAGGTAATCAGAACAGAATTTCAATTCCTACAGGGTAACACCTCCCTGCCCACCTCTGAAGTGCTATGATGGCAGCTCTTGTTAAAGCATTGCATGTGTGTACCGTTTCCTTATTGACACTGTACCTCATAGTTCCGTATTTCGGGCTCTTATTTTAGTTCTTCACATTTCTCTCTCTCATACAACATTGTTAGCAGAATATCCTAAGTGAAGAAAGGCAGTGGTTTGGTCAGTATCTTGTTCCTCAAAGGCTGTATTTCTGCTGAATAAAACTAGGAAATAAGTAAAGATATGGTTTGGACAGATCACAGAATGTATTATGAGGCTTGTACTGGAACAGTACACTAGTGAAGATTGGGTTAGAATAGAACAGATAGGATAAAAGTCAAAAGAGTTTTGTTAGATTGTACTGGGAAGCTAGCATAACATCTATCCTCCGTACCATGTTCTAAGACTTCAAAGTCCATTTCTTTAATTAAAATAAGCTCAGGTAACAATGTAATTCAGTGTCTGTTTTAAGGACTTGTCCTCATCAAGCAAACGAGAATTTGGTACTTCCCATATAATAGAAGGACAAGTCATGTCACCTGGATTTTCCATCTCCATTGTTGATTCAAAAGGACTAATTAGTTGTTTGTCAGTAATACTTGAATTCACGATGCTAGACAGTATTTAAAAGGAGGAGGTGGGGGGAAGCAAAGCAGACATGTCCTTTTCCCGTTTAAATTGTCAGGACAAGCAGATGCACAGCAGCCTTTAACTCACATTTAACCAAGTTCTGTAATATTCAGACTACCTATCTGGCAGTTTTGCAAGTTGGCCTGAAAATTAATTTTCTAATCTCAAATTTACCTGTAGTTTAGAGGACGAGGAATTGAGATACTGAGGTCAAGTCAGCCTCACTCCAAAGGAGCTTTAGTACAGTAATCCTGGAGGGGGAAAGACTGAAAGATGAATACAGTAATATTCTTTCAGAAACTAGCAATTCTTAAGCATTCATCTTGCACAAATCCAACCACAGGCATCCAAGGAAAAAGGCAAAATCAAGGATGTCCAAGAATTACCAGCCTCTGGAAGTCCTCTCAAAAATATGTTGCCTTTGTATTAGTCTCAAACCACCAGTTAAACCTTATATTTAGAATGAAAATTATAGCAATGGTAGAGGTTAACAGGGCTGCAGAAGATTGAAAATCCAGGGGTTGGTCTGTAGATCTAGGGAATATATGAATTCCTGTTCTGTATTTTTTGCATGTTGGTTTGGTGGTGGTAGTGGTGTGTATGCCCAATGGTGAAACTAAATGCATGAGCCCCTTGCTTGATGCCCCACATAAAGCCAGATACTGGGGAGGTTGCACCCAACTTTTGTTGTTGCTTCCTAATGTCTTGCTGTTTGACATAGGACATCAACATCGCAGGAGATTGGATGTCACCAGCTTGCTGCCCACTGTTAGCATTCAGTTCTAATCACACAACTGACAAAGCTGTCCAGTCTCCTTCGAATGCAATGTCTCAGCTGTCTTTTGCACCTTACTAAGATTCACAGCATTTATGGTCAATGGTGTGGTAAGAGCTCACAAAGGCACACACACTTTTGTCACATTGGGTTACAGAAACTTAATTGTGGTGTAGCCACAGCTGAGCACATGCTCTGAGAACTCAGAGCCCTGAGGCTGAAATGTTGCCATTCAAGTTGCCAAGTCACTTGTGACTCATTGTCTTTAGGTAGATGCGTGCATTCTTGGCCTAGTGCATACAAGTTACTGGGAGCTGAGAAGTTCTACAGATTTAGAGCACCATTTGAAGTACTACAGAAGTTACTGATTTCTGTATGCCAGCATGCTCTTTAAACTGCATAAGGAAACCAGTACTTGATATCATGCTGAAGAAAGCATGCAACCAAATTCTTTAAACAGTTACCCCTTGAAAAAGTTACTGGTTAAACTGTGTCAGTGTGAGCCTTTTACTTTACTATGACCTTAGCAATGGCTTTGTTCCTGTTATATCTAACTAATGTCTTGCATTTTTTTCTTTCCATCTCCTTTTGATGCAACCTGGAAGAAATGTCAAAAAACGAAGGTTCGATCCAACTCAACAAGGCCCTATCTGAAGAAATGCCATTCAAAAAGCTGCTTCTTGCACTACTGGATTTTGGGTATGAGGTCTTTGCTGTAGCTACACAGGAACTAAATCAGTATGGAAGAACACGAGAACAGTAACCATAAACACAAAGTTGGGATGTTGGGATGTGAGTTGGTAGAACATTGTCCTCTTTGGAGATAAGTTGGAAATACTTCCTCTATTCACCTTCCTCCTGTTAACATTAACTGACAAGTGGTACAAGCAAACTGCTTCAAAAATCAGGTGTTTTTTTCCTTTTCTCAAATTACAAAGGAGACACACAGACCAAGTGCAATAAGAGAACTGTTCCAAAATAATGGAATTGCAAAAGATTCTTTCCCAGCCTGCTGGCACTCTAACTTCACTTGAGTTCGCATGACTTCCTTTTTCTTATCAAACTCCAGTGGCATGAGGAGCTAATTTTGAAAGGGTAACCTGCATGGCTCACATACAAACAACCAAGCTAGCAAGCTGACCCCAAGCAGAATGTGCAGCCCGATAAATACAAACCACTGGGAAGCCAGTGCCAGGCTTCAATAGCTTTTCCAGCCAAGCAGTGCATTCTGCTGCTGGACTTAAGGGTTCCCTGCACCTTGAGCTCACTGTCTACCTTGGACAGGAGCCTGTTGGGTATGGAAGCTAGTAAATGATGGATGGAATTCTTCCAAGAAGGAAAAAGTGTAAATATGGAAATAAGATTTTGATGCATCATTTTCACAGATTATATATAAATATATATATATGAGAGAAAAGAATTCCCATATAAAAAGGTTCTATTCTTTATGTAAATCTATTTTTGATGTTGGGTTTGGTTTTGGGTTTTTTTTCCTCCCCATTTTTTCTGTAGCATGTTGTACAGCAGATGTTCTGGGCTTGCTCAAAAAAGGCAGATAACAGCATGCAGATGCAGGGAGTTCTGACACCAAACAGATGTGATCTAAAGTTTGTATGCTTGAAACCAAAAACAATTAAAATGTATAAATGCATATCTATGTATTGACTATAAGTCTGAATTACTTTTTTTGGCTGTTATACAGACTTTTCCATTATATAAGTAACACACTCTCAAACAAATCACAGAAGTGCCAAGCTCTTTTTTTTTTTTCTTTTAAGAAAGGCTACTTTTTTTTCCTGCCTAGATTCTGTAAAATAAAAACTTAAATAAGCCTTAAAATACTCAAAAGAAGTTAAAGCTTGGAATGAGTTATTCTTGCCTTGCCTTCTACCCATCCATTTGAAGCAGCTTGCAATGGTGATTGACTGACCTTTTTTAACTCACTCCCTGTATCTCTTTGATGCATGTCACTTTTCAAAGTTTAATGCAAGATTAATACTTTGACCATTGGCTACTGGTAGCCAGTTACCATCACATGTGCAAAATCCCAGGTAATTTCAGGTGTGTTGTCATTACTTTTAGAGACACCTTCTGTACAAACACAGATTTTTAGACAGCAGTCCTGGGCAGCAGTCCTGTGTCCCTAGGAACCAGGCTCACCTGGCTGCAACTGCCTTGAGAAAGGTTTGTGAAGAGGTCTAGTTTAGGGCTCCCTTAAAGTACAGAGCTGAACAGTCTAGCTCATCCTTTTAATCTTGACTTAAAACTTAAATCATTTGGTAAGTGAAATAACTGAAAATTTAATTGCTGTGTCTGCTGATAATTAATCAAAGACTTTTGTAATTTTGCATCTAATTTAAAAGTTGTAGCTTAGTAACAACAGAAGCCCAGTTACACTACTTCTGGCATCTTTGTTCAGAGGACATCCATTTCCCAAGTTAGCTTTAAAAGCCAAAACATTAAAAAATGCTGCAGACATTTTCCTGTGAGTTATAAAACCTGATTTCAGTTATTTTTCTTATTATGATAACGTTCAATTCCATAGTCTCAATGTATTGGTTTTGATTCATAGTTATTAAATATTTTCAATCAGCTTTAACATAATCACATTTACACTTACTACATTATAAGTTAAAGGTGCTGCACACAGGTAGTTGACATTAATAGAAATTATAAACCTTATTCTAAAAGTTTTCTGCTTGGCTTTAATCAGAATCAAATAGTGACATTTCTCTATTGACAAACCAAAAATACTTGCAACTCTATTATGGTTCCCTAAAAATGCTTTGATTGGGAACACAATTCTAACTTTTTTCAGGTTCTGCTTCCAAAGCAGGCATAACCCACAACAGAAACACCAGTGGTATCAAAAATTACAATAAGTCAACTGGATATACATGAATTACCTGTGTAATAAACCTTGGAGAAGCATTTCACAAACAACATTGTTAGTGTGTGATGTGATGTTTTAAATCAGACCACAGTGGTCCCCAGCTACTATGTATATATGTTCAGTGCTGGAGTAACATTTTTATTTACACCAGCAGTTTCATAGCAATTAGGATTTCTTGACTGATTTAATGCTCCATTCCTCAGCCACTGTGTGTATGGGAAGAACACACTTTCTGCCCTGTGTGTACATGACACAAGTGACAACACAGCCCAGAGCTGGCACAGGCTGAGGTGCTGGTAGACAGTTAAAAGACTGGATTTGTGATAGGTGTCGATTTTGTACATCCCCCTCACTGTGCTTTGGGAAGTGCATATCCATTTAGTGGTAACTTGTTCATTGCAAAGCATCACCAAAAGAAGACCAGGTTGATTCTGCCTCCATTTCATCCACTCTACTTTTGCTCCATTATTTACCTATTCAGCTGGACAAGAAACTGTGGTAACTGTGTAGCTCATTCCAGTCTGCTGCATGATCTCATTGATTTGATCTGATACTCCTAAAAGAGAAGTCTGCAAGGCAAATTTACAGCTGTATAGGTGCATGTTCAAGAACCAGATCACTTAAGGCTGGAGTCTAACCAATTTTTCTTTACTATGCAAAGATGGGTATTGCACAAACAGATGAGACAAATGTCTAAGGAAATGCCATAAAATACTTGAAGTTATGTTTTAAGCCTAATCAGTCATGTTTTATATTCATTACTGCTTCCACTGTTACTCTTCCTTTTAAAAATGATTTGTAATTATTTTTTAAAGTGCACAACTTGATGTTGTTATAAATCAAGTTTTTGTTTGAAGTTAATACTCATTCATATCCTGTTGGCTGCTAATGAATGGAAATTCAATAGTTCTTGTTCTGCATCTTAGCAAGATGAGTATTAAAAATGTCACGAACATGGAATGGAGTAGTTTTTAATTTTCAATTTTTTTGCTTATTTATTCTCTCAGTTTAATTTAATTTCTGTGTTCAAGGAATCATCACATTTGTAGTAGTGGAAATTGAATGGAGTTTTCTTTTACGAAAGATCTCAAACTGTGTCAAATCTCACAGTGAGGTTCTGTCTGTGGGAGGACACTGCACGCAGCCTTTCTGCCGTGCATGGAACCAGCGCCTCGGCACCCAGGATGGGCACAGCCTGCTTCAAGTCCCAGCTGCTGGCTACACTGAGTTCGGTGAGATCTGGAGGCTTTTCTTAGTTGAGGGTAGCCTTTTCCAGCTCAAAAATCTGAATCATATATTTGGACTTCTTGTAATTATAAGGCCCTTGAAGTATTCTTTAAATAATTACATCATAGCAACCAGATACTATGGCCATCACTTTAATGGAATACTAAATGAAACTCCATTTCCCTTTTATTTTTTTGCCAGAATAACTCTAGTGAAGCCAGCCTGGGAAAATTAAATGCATGCATGTCACAGTTACCAGATAACTACTGATATTGTTTTGCTTTCTCCAGCTCCAGTCAGGGAAACAAAATACACTTTTGTGTTAGTGTCTCCCATGGTTCTGTGTGAAAGCATGTTTCTCATTTAGAACAATAGACTGAGGGAACACTCTCAATAATGGATCCACTATTATCCACTTCTATTTCCTGTCATTTGAATATAGGATTTTATCTATAACCTCAATAAAAACATGCAACATTTTGGCTATAATTAGAATAGACAGTCATTCCTTAAAATAGAAGTTAAGGCTTTTGCAGTATATGAATAGAAAAGCAATATAGAGACAGATGCATACCTGCTTTTGATTTTACAAGAAAAAATTCTTAGAACCGTTTTTGAAAGCTCCCTCAATTCCAGCACAAAACACTGAAGAGCGATCTTGCGTGGGGCACTTACTGTTGTGAACAAGACCAACACAACGCCAAGCCACGTTGTACAAACCCAAAACTGCCTCTTTGGTTCTAAATGCACTTCCTATAGATTCCTACCTACAGGAGCTGAAAAGTTAATTTAACATGAATCATCCATCAGTAATATCATAGAGACTGTTTAAGTGCCCAAAAAAAGCTTAAATTAAAAAAAAGTGACTAAGAATTTTAGTAGTAGAGATGCTCAAACCAGTACAATTGAAAGCAAAAGGTGACAAAAGCCTTTTAACTTAAAATGACACACACTATAATTCACTTCAGTGATTTATTCACAACTCAGCAAGCACATTGTTGTAGGTTTGTGGAATAAGTTATTTAGTGGGAACAGGTAACACAAGAGGGGACACAACCCCTAGACACAAGGGGTCCACATCAGACCAGCATCAGCAGCCACGATGTGTTATTTCTGAGCAACCACAAACTACCAAGAGCAGCATAATTATGAATGCTCTAAGTTGTAGAAAACCCATAATCAAATGTCAGTTAACTTTTTCATATTAAAATTTTCTTCTAAAAATGCTTGGGATAAGTCTTGGGATAGCCCTCATCTTTACCACTAACGCTGTAACTAGCATGTTCTAGTGTGGCACTTTCTGAGCCAGTATAAGAATTTCCCCTATCAAAGCTGGAAGCTCAAAGCATGGAAGAACTTAACACACATTTTACATGGTCCAAGTCCAATTGTCAGACTTGATAAGCACAACACTCCACCGCTGTATATCATATGTTATAAATACAACATATATTACATCATACATTCATAGATTTCCTCAGCCATCAGTCCAGCTACTGAAGGCTTTGAATTTGCTTTGGAGTATGAAGCAATGTTTGCATCTACACTACACAGAGAGGTTGAGAGGAAGACTGGTTATTGCAGCTGTATTTTAACAGGTGACAAAGGCATGAGCATAACACACTCCTTACATTACACACCAGTAACATGCTGTGGGTTATAACATCAGTTTTGCCTCTTGTGCAGAAAAAAAGTTCCCCCACTCATAACATGTGCTCCTTCACTGCAGTCTAACCCGGACACTGTGCAGCCAAAAAACACCACAGGCAAACTAATTTTGATTTGTTTCCTATCTCCAGCTGAGATGGTGGTCAGTTTATTCTCATGAATGAAACATGTCTAAATATCTCAAACCTAGTGCTATTTTCATAAGCCTTAAGAAAAATTTTGAATGATAACTTCATGACAGCTGTGCTAAACCTAATTCCATATAAATTGCAGGAAGCATATACTAACAACTGACAGCTCCCAGTTTGCCCACTTGACTTCTTTGAAAGTGTTTTGTGCATAATGGAAACAAGAATCAATATCCTTATGCATGTTGCCCACACTTTACATCCAAGATACAAATTTACAACTTGCCTTGAAATAGAATAAGCACGGACCTTATTAATTCAGTACAATTTTTCAAAGATCGGGTCTTTGGACTGTTGAGGTTTTAACTATCTACCCACTCTTAAGAGGGGATTCCTCAACACACATCACTCAGGGGTGCTGTGGATTCACAGCACAGTGGAACACTCCTAATCAGTACATAAAAGCTTTACTGTTCCAAGAAAGGAGTATTTAGTATTGCAGAAAACTGAACGGATCTATCCCTAGCGTCTAATCCAGTTGATAGGGCACCTGGGTGCCTTTTGGAACTTCAGCACAACAACAAACAAAAAAAAGCACAGTACTTGTAACAGCAGAGTTATTTGCTTAGAGAAACAGCCCCTCCTTCTCCTCTCCCAGCTGGCTACTGACCTGCAGACTAGCCAAGATAGAAGTTTATACACCTGAGGGTTAAAGAAGAAAGTGGCACCACCAGCACCAACTGATATTCCTGTGAGCCTGCAGGTTTGACAAGGTCCTAAGGACCTTTGGTGGGAGTTGTACTGAATGGCACCTTATGCTGTCAAGCTGAAGGAAGTGCCCAGACCCTACAGGCACAACACACCGCTATTTTCCACTGGTCAGTGGTCCGAGCTGTGTGGCCACAGTGTTGGGGACACCTAAAGCTCCACCTGTCTATAGCAAAGCTTGACTTTGTGTGACTGCACTAAGATGCTTCCACTCCTCTCATCAGCTTATGTAAACAGAGATGTTTATCTCCCTAACAAGGGCCTCTTCCCAAAACATGATTTATAGCAGTCTGGTTTGCTCCAAAACACACCAATAACTGTATAATTAGAGAATAAACATACAGAATTTGCAGTAGCAATGCTCATGGTTTTGTTAAACAGTCTCAATCTGTTCTTTCAAAGAGAAGGCTCAAGTTACTTTTAAGTACAGGCACCACAGTCTAAACGTCTATACTCCATTCATATATTTATGTTGGGATTTGACATATTCTGACCATCCATTTCCTCCCCAGACCTTTTCCCTTGTCAACATGCCTCATTCCGAGGGTGGCACAACAATGAAATCAGATGGAGGCAAAGTGCACAAGCAAGCCTATTTCCTTTGCAGTCAGTCACTTCTCCCCTATTTCCTTTCAGGCACATCTGAACTCTGTAATGCTATTTCAAGACTTGCTCCATTATGAAGTTACTTTTACAGATATTGTTAACAATAACATAGTTTACAGACAATAAATGCTTGACCAGGATTTTTGTGCAATGAGAAAGCAGTTCCAAGAAATGCAACAATTTTAGTGCCCTCCAGCATTCACTGATAAGCTTCAGGAAATTAAAGATTTTAAGTTCTGCTTTGTGTAATAAGGAGATCTTGAACACAAGACTGAAAATTGCCTCATTTGCAGAAAGAAAGAAAGAAAGAAAGAAAGAATTCCAGCACATTAGAGACTCCTGTGTGCTGTTGGATCAGAGGGCTAGGCAGGTAGGTAAAAGATTCAGGTCCGTTACATTTTTGCTTCAGTTTTCCTTCCTCTAATTTGGCTGGGCATTTTTCACTTCAAACACAAGATCTCTAGGACAGGCCCTCAAAGGTGACCTTTAGCACCTAGGCCAGGGATCCCTGGGTTTAGGCAGAGCTAGTTGGCTGATAAGTTTGAGACAACCCCCCTCCCCAGGTATTCAGAAGAAC